ATTTGACAAAGCCTGCTGGTTCTGACAGGTTTAATTAATAAGTAGGGTAGCAAATGATGTTGGCCTCTTACTTTCTTTACCACCTTTTGATTTTGCTTCTGAAATGCCCCCATTTTTCAGAAAATGACTAGTCCTCCTTTACCTCACTTCTGTTGTTCAAACATGCTTTGTGTTAAAGCCCTCTGCTTGCCTCAAGCCTCTAACAAACTAAAAGTTGTGGCTTATATAAGGTGAAGGAAACAAGTAAGGAGGTTTGGAGATGAGTTCTAGCAACTTGCAGACTTCAGGTTTTCTGATGGAGAGTCTTAGGTGGTTTTAAACATTGTCATGGATTTGTAGGTGATGGCCCCAAGGCTTTCAGAGAGAAAAAGATCACAGTAGTTAAAGATATATGTTGCTAAATATCTTTTTTTGACATTGAGATTTTATTTCTTAATAAAAATAAAATGCCATGGAACCGGTCTTTGTTATATGGTCAGAGTATACAATATTTAAATTTTTAAATAGTAGCTTGAATTAACTTGTGCAGGTCTTAAAAAAATTTATCGTAAAGAAATTAAAAATGTATTGTGCCCAAAACATTTTTATAATTCTGCATTATAGCCTTAGAAATATTTTATCAGGGTATTTTTGTTTGGTTTGGTTTGGTTTTACTGTGTTTTCGTTCTTTGCAGATGGGAACATCAGGAATTGCTCTGTAAGAAGGATGGATGGCTATATTTAATTATTGGCCTCTGATTCTTGATTAAATTAGTACAAATCCTCACTTGTCTCTCTCCACTGTCCTACTCTTACACTTCGGCAGCATTATTTCTCGCTGACTAAAATCTTATCAAGAATCCATCATTTCCCCTTTCCATCCACTAAGTTTTGATGATTTGGTGCAAAGGTGTACTTACCGTAACACTGTTACGATAACTAGTACATTTGTGTTTCTGTTATGATGGGAGTACTGTTGTAGTGAGACTTATCCACTGTTGCTGCTGCTTCTCAGCAGTGTTAATTATACTTTAGGCTCATGTAGGGTGCATATGGAAACACAAAAATAAGTGATCGGGGACTAGAACAGTTTTGCTTTCATTTGTTGTGACAATGGCACATCTACTATGAACACACACACAGAGGCTAACGTACCTTATCTGTAATGAGGTCATGTCCCATGATGTGTATTAAACATCACTAACTAGTCCCCTGCTTATCCAAAACCTCATTTATCTGAATTAATTTTGTGTCCCCCATTTCATTCAGCTAAACAAGGTTTCACAGTGTTTCCAACTCACAGTTTTATCATGAGTCTCATGATATGTAGTGTTTTGCTTAAAGCCTAGTCCCTGGAGTCATATGAATACGTGAAAATCTCAGCTTTCATTTAGAAAAAAACAAAGAGGGGGGACAAATTTCTAGTCCTTGCAGTTACAGAGAAAGGCTGGAAAATCTGATACTTAAAAATGCCAAATCCACAAAGCAAAGAATTCAACGTGAATTATTGTTTTAAAATCTTATGATTTTTAAGCCCATCTCATGATTTTGGGAGCCTGACTCATGATTTTTGAGTGTTTGGTGTTGGCAATACTGTTTTCACTGTAATGTGCCTTTTCATGTGTGTGTCTGAGTCCTATGGATCGTCTGTCAGACTGTGGGGCAGTGTGGGGTTTTGTAGCAAGGATCTCCATTCCCCCCCCCCCCCCCCAGTGTACATGAGAGAGTGGAGAAGCACCCATTTATCCCCAGCCCCTTGTTATGCCTATAGATAGTTTAGTGGAGACTATGTATTGATTCCAGCCTCCAACTTTTGGAGATGCTGGATCACAGTAGTTGTGCAGTGGGTTAATGGTGTTTGATATAGTTTGTCGGATTCTTCCCCCCACCATTGCTAATGAATGCCGACTGCCTAGTTTAAACGAGAGCTAAATCCTATTTTGGCCAAGGCAGCTATGGAGAGCACAGATGCTGCCCACTGTGTCCTCTGCAAAAGGACTTCTGCCAACCAGGGAATGATTTCTCATGGTAGGACAAGAGGAAGTGCTGTGCAGTGCACTTTGCTGCTCTCCTGATCAGAAGCAAAGTACGATCCTATCTGCTGCCAGTTAGCACTTGCCGCTGAGTGCAGCATACTCACTAGCTGGCTGGGGAGTTAGTTGCCCACTGGGGAATGTGGTGCATGGGCCAATGAAGTAGCTGTCTGTCCTTCTTACTACTACTTGTGATTGCAGTGGAGAGACCGTGTCCTGCTGCTTGCATGGGGAAGAAGAGGTTTCCAAACAATGTCTTCCCCCTCTTGTGCAGCAGAGGGTGGAATTTAGCTCCTACACACCAATGCTTAGGGCTAATACCTAAACAGTGGTTGGCAGGCTAAAGAAAAACATTGTGGTGCCATGCAGAATTCTCAAGGTTGGGAGCAGCCTTGGCACTTCCACTCCAGCCATCTAGTGTCTGGCCTGGTGAGGGTGGAAGCATAAGCTAACTGCATGGCTCTATGAGCATCACCTGCTAGATGATTGCATAGCATTAACAGGGGGCTGCAAGGAGCTGCGATGGCAGCAGCATCTGAAAAGGGAGGGGGATGGGCAATATTTTTCAGTGAGATGGCCGTATGTCCGGGAGATGTCCCCGAATGCCAGTGCAGAGAAGGGAAGGGGCATGGTCCCACCCTGAGTAAGAACCCCATGTCTTTTTACCCCACAAGTGGTTTTGATTCCTCTTATATCCTTCTTTGCTGTTTTCTCACCCCTTCTCCTTATTTAAATTAACAAGAAAAAGAAAAACTCGGTGGACCTTTTTGAAAATATGTGAGCCAACAAATGCAGTCTTGTAAGTTATTTATTAGAGTATTTCTCAGTCAAAGTTTAATGCCATATAGTGGTCAGCAAACTCTCTCTTGCTGTTACAGTCATGTTTTTCATATCACGTTTCAAATTTCCTCAGAGCATTAGAAGTGTTATTTGGTTTTGGTGTGATGTTAATCACCTCATAGTAGTTTAATGCCATACTACATTTTTCTCTGGCTCTACAAGTTTTACCCATAAGAGAGGATGTACATTGGCCTCAAAGACTGTACATTTATTTTTCTCATAACTGTGATGTATTTTTTCCTTTGCTAATATATTTTGATGTGTTATAGTTGTAACCTGCTGTTCTCTTTAATTGCTTATTGTTATTAATTATGTAGCGGTAACATTGTCAGCTGCTTGAGCCATTTGGCTTTAAAAAAATGCATTTATCATTATTGCCATTGGAGCTGCAGTAAATTGCCAGACTTCTGTCCGGAGATGAATGCTTTTGAGCGTTTCTCCAATAAAATTTGAATGTGGATCAAATCAAGATTTTCTTTTGCATCTTCCCTTCCCTCCGACCCCCAGGGCTTCTCTGCCCTGTCCCCACTTCTCTTCTTTTCTTCCTTCTCCACCTCTTCTCCTCGAGCTTTTCTTGTCACATCTACTCTTCCTGCCTGTGGCTCCATTTTCCTTCTTCTTCTCTATTGGTTTTCCTTCTATGCCGCCCCACCCCTTTACAGTGGCTCCCTGTTTTTCCCACTTACCTCTTCCCTTCCTCCTCCTGTCTACAGTATCTCCCCCCCGCCCCCAATTCCCTAATCTTTACCTGCCTTTTCCTCTCTGCAGTCTTTTGTGTTCCTCCTCTTCTATGCTTTTTGTCCCCTCCAGTCCCCTCTCTGTTTATTTCTGTCTTTTTGGAGCTTCTTGGGTATTTCTTAAACTCCACTTCTTGGTAGGCAGAATATTGGGAAAAGATGACTGCTCTATGGAGGAGCTATAGTTTGGGTCCTAAATAAATATATATTTAAATAACGGCCAGCCTGAAGCCATAAATTCACAAAGATCACAAACACAGTGTACTACATATAGCATAAGAAAAAGTGAATCAGCCCTGATTATTGTATGTCTTTTCAAGAAACTGGGAAACTCTTCAATGCAGGGATCCCTTCAGTTTGTTTGGGGACAATTTTGCTCTCCAGTGTAAATCCATGTAGCCAATAGAGTAACATCAGATTTACAGTGTTGTAAGTGAGAACAGACTCTAGCCCTTTTTGTCAAGGGAGCCGAAAGCTGCCTATGTTACTGTATAATGGGATCAAATACAAAAATATGTGAAAGTTAAATCAAGCTGAAATTGAGCTTTCTCATATTTTCCTAAACAAAAAAATAGCAACTAAATTAGACTAAAAAAATACAAAGATTACACCTCATTAAGTGGAACTATATCATTTTAATAATATTCTGAACAAGAAAAATTCTTCAAACTGGTTCAGTTGGGCTAGGAGAAAAGAGTCTAGTTTAAAAGCCCCGTTCCAGTGTAAATTAAGCACAGCTCTGAGGGCCTCAAGTGTCCTTTCCACATTTTTTTCTCCTATTTTTGTAGGGGACAGGGTGGTGGAGAGGGCAGGAGGTTGAAGTTCTAAAACAGTATTCCAGCTACTGCTGTTCACTTCTTCAAAAGGTCCTTTACATGTGTAACAAGAAGTCACTAAGCAACAGTTCTCATACTGCATTCAGCTTTGAAAAAAATTGTCAACAGTGCCTGGCTTTTCATATAATTAAATAGCAGGAAGTGTAATACTTTTCATTCTAGGTATCTCTAATGTTCAGAAATGCAAAGAAGTCCTGTTCTAGTCTCTCTCTCTCTCTCTCTCTCGCTCTCTCTCTCTCTCTCTCAGAGGAAGCAGGCTGTTCTTAGCATCGTGGATAAACGGCTTTTCAGCATTTAGTGATTTTCTCCTTCAGACAACTAGTGGCTTTGTGCCAAAAAAAGAAGGCCCTGACCTTGCTATACACTCAGAACAAAAAATACCTGATGAGAGTTGTGTACGGTACATAGCTCGTGCTGCTAGTCCACTGCTGTGTGGAATTAATATTGACTATTCGACTGTCTCAGTGCTAGAAGATGTTTTCCCTGTAGACCTAACTTTACAACAGGTTGCGTTTAGTTTATGCTGCATGAAATATCCTCTTTCAATTTTACCAATTTGTGTTTTTTTTGTGCAGTACTCGAAGGTAGATATACCTGTACTTCCACCAGTTCCAGAAGTCCCAGACGGGTGGGCATTACTAGTAGGTATTTAACACCAAACAGCAGAGAAAGCTGCCTCTCCAAGCAGAAAGCAGGAACAACAACAACGACAAAAAATTACATCCAACACAGCAAGAAAAAAAAAATCACATTTAAAATGAATGCACAATACTAAAAACCAAAAGTTTTTGACTTATATTACTCTGTTCTTAATTCTTCTGAATACAAATGTGACATTTTTATTAGTTTTTTTTCCCCATGGTTTGATTAAATTGTTAATAAGTACTTTGCCAGCCAGTCTCTGAACAGTTCGAATTATAATTTTATTTTACTATAGAAGGGTTGGTACAAGAAACTTTCTTTTCAGGGAGAAATATGGCCTCAGCACAGGATTGAGAACAAGGAATTGCAAAATTCTAATCTTGACTGACCCTGATTGTGTTGTGGCCTTGTACAAATTATCTAGAGCCTGATCCTTCTCCAGCTAAATTTAGTGAGAGATTTTCCATTGTCTTCAATGGGAGAAGGATCAGTCATTTGCCGTGCCTCAGTTTAAAAGGCCTGACCTTGCAAATTTCTGAGTTATCTACTCACATGAACAGTTTCATGTAAACTAGGAGGACTGCTCATCTGAGTTAGTTACTCCAATGTGCAGGCATTTGCCAGATCAGTCTGTTTAAGTCTTTGGTTTATGCTCATAGAGCATTTTGGAGAGATAGTGTTAAGCTAGAAGTACATTTGAATGATTCATACTGCTACAACTAACTCAGAAACTACAGCTTTTTCTTAATGGTGCTTTTAATTTCTTCTAATAGCAAGGAGAAAACATTTTGAAAATTATTTGCAGAATATGCCATGTCACAGGAGGCTGCATAGCAATGATGTTGTGTAACCTTGTGATGTGTACATGCTATGTGATGCAACGCAGATTTAAAAAAAAACAAAAAACTAAATACCTTTTCCTGGTGCAGTTACAGACAAGAAGTAACAAATTGTGTCCCATAACATGGTGACTAACTCTGTTGCTGAATTCTTGAACTCTCTCCTAGTAGCCAGATGCCTGGAAAGGGCATTTGCTACATGGAAATCTTTCTTACTTGAAATGAAAATATGAGAGTTATTAAGAAGCTAGGACTGTTAGATATGGAATGAATCCTTTTTTATTTTAACCAACCTGATTGGTTAGGCATTTGGGGGTTTAATCAATGTACAGTGCTAAAGGCACTTGTAGTAAGAAGAATTCACTTACATACAGCCAAAGTGAGTGCAACCAAGCAAAAAGGTGAACAGTTGGTGAAGTGAAATGCATCCCTTGCTTCAGACAGAAATACAGTGGAGTGAGAGATGCAGCAAACTAGCTTTCCCTTAAGCAGAGTTAATTTCAAAATCTGGCCCTGGAGAGATAGACTTTTTGCTTTAATTGAGGAGGTGGACTCTAGTGCTTGTTGCTCCATCAGCACCCTTCTCCTAGTGGCTGTTCCTCAAAGGTGCATTAGCAATACTCTACAAAAAGCTGCGTGTTCCTTAGCCATAGAGTAGGCCATATTGCACAATGCCTCTGGGAGCACTATTGGAGCTGAAGTGCCCCAGCACCACCATTTTACAGGGTCCAATGCACATGTTCTCTCCAGTACTGGTACAGCTCCAAGGGCCAACACATTGGACGGGGAAGAGTCATAGCCTGGCCTTGCCCTGCCCTGCCTTTCTTCGCCCCATTTGGGAGGGCTAAGATTGCCTGTGTGACTCGTGGATGACAGGACTAGGATTTTGCATGACTGCTAAGCATGGGCATAAAATGGGGAAGGCTCCTTACATCTTTGCCCCAACTCCCTCCCATGTACCCACTCACAGGTAGGCACAATCTTGCCCTAAATATCCTCTTTTTTTATTTGAAAAGGGACGGGGAAATGTCACCCAAGATGGAACCATGCATGCTAGGTTTCCACACTGAGCAAACTTTTTATGACCAAAGTCACAGACTCATTTAGAATTGGACTGAGAATAAATCCCCCCCCCCCCACCCCCAGTGTGAGAAAAGTGGTCAGCTTTCCTGAATATGACAGGACATTCCTGATTGTAATTCTGTCGCCCACTCAGACCCTATGCTCCTAGCCTAGCAGAACAGGATGGGACTTCATTTAGACTTTTTATTAGACTTTTTTCAGTGGCAGTTCTTTCAGTGCTGTAAACATTTCCTTTCAGCAAATTCCAGCTGTATCCTTTGGCTTTAGTACATCTATTTCTTTATCACTTTACTCCTGTGCTTTTCAGAATTAACACCTTGGTGGATTGTGGTTTTTGTCTTGGGGCGGGTGGCATGATAATGCTTGAGAAATTAAAAATGACAGAAGCTCTATTTCAATCAGGGAGAAATGACAAACATGATGCTAGAATTCATCAGGCAATGTTCAGTTCAGCATCAAGTCTTTATAGAGTAATTGTGTCTTCTTTAAGCAGGTGGAGAAAAGGCCTACCTGATATTTGATCACTAGAAGTTCTTTTTTATAGCAGGGGCTTAAGAATTACAGTTACTAGCTGGGTTTGAAATAGCAGTGAAATTATTTGTAACAAAACTCAGACAGTTTTGTATTTGTGTAGCAGTTGTGAACTCTGCACATTGTCATTAAAAAGGAAGCACCAGTGACACAAATACGTAAACTAAGAAACAATTGGGTCAACATATGCATTGCAAATTACAATGCAGTACTGCTTATTTTTTTTACTCTGTTTTTTAGTACAAGCTGTTGTAGCCAAGGGGTTAGCTTTGTCATCTGTGCCATTTCTTCGTTACTCCTTAGACCTCTGGCTTATAAATGTGTGCTGTGAAATTAACTCAGGGAAGAGGGGAAGCAAGGTGAAGGGGAAGAAATTGGTTTAGGGCATAGTTTGCTTGGTTAATAAAGAAAACACGCTGTAGCTGTACACACTTTTGAGCTGGAAAATTACAGGAACTTCAGGCCATTTGGTTCCTGTGTTTTATGCAGAGGGCAGAGTTTACTCCTGTTTTGATCAGGAGCTTTACCAGGAGGGTTTATATCTTTGGACCTTAGCTGATGGATTCAGTCAAAGTAGGAGGCAGAAGGACCCTTCTGGACAGCCTGGAAGGTGAATGAGAGAGAGTCCTACTTATAAACTGATACAAATTGGTTTTCAGTGGTGGCTATAGTGTTGTTCGGACAATATAAGGGGGCCCCCAGTGGTTACCAACTTAACAACTGCATGTGAGTCAACCACTGAACTAGTGGTTGTAGCCACACTAGATTTTTGTTTTTATTGCCAAGAAAAAAGCATAAACTTGGGACACACAGAGGCTGCTTCCCTTGTTTAATGTTTATATTGAAATGTCACTGTCTTCAGTGAAATAAGTTCTGTGTGGAGTTCAGAACTTTGATGGGGTCTGAACAGCCAGAATGTTACAACTTTATCTGTTTTCTCTGGAATAAAAGTAACAAATTAGCAGATGTAGGTGTTGAATGGTAAGAGAGAGGATTTTTAGCAGATAGCCTACAGCTTTGAATGTGAGTGTATGTTCAGCTTCAAGATGGATTTTGTTGTTTGTTTTTATAGCTGGTTATCAAGTTAGCTGCTTAAGGTAATGGGCTGCACCTCAATTACAATCTGCCTACATCCATTGAAACATTTAATATTTGTGTAAATATTAAATATTTATATGAATATTACACACTTTTATTTGGAATTTATTCATGTTTACATTTATGTATCGTCTGAGTAAAGATTATAAATGGAAATAATTTACTTAGCCGGAGATTCTGCATGCGTCAAATTAAATTATCTTCCAACATTGGGTAAGCCATCCTCATTGATGTTGTTAGGCTTTAACCATGTCTTACCTCACACCTTAACCATGTAGGTGCACTTTTAAATCTCAGTTTTGTGATATACAGTGGGCACTTTGTTCTTAACTCCCTTATGGAGTTATTGGATCTATAACGTGAAGGACATACTGACTTGTTTTGCAATGTGCAACACCAGGGACTGCAAGGTATGGTTTTCCGTTTGATTTGGAAAAGTGTAGGTGTTATATTATAGGTTAATTTCTTTCTCATTGTTCAGCTAACTCGTTTGCACTGGAATGTATTTCCTATTCCTCCTCCTGATAGTTGGTGCTTTAATACCTGTGTTGCAAGCAATATTCTAAATTTAATCCATATAAGCGGTTGCCTAGAATTCCATAGCATTGCTTATTTCTTACCTATAACTCTTCATAAAAAATAGGGCTGTGCCAACCTATTATACCCTTAATAGAATATTCTAATGGTTATTAAATCAATTGACTCTGAATCTCACTTTAATAAATGAGTCAGACAGTATTTTCCAATTACTGTCAGCCGCCACCTTTCTAAAGAGCAGAAGATTATTTTGATTGAATTTTTTAAAGCTGTTCAGCACTCGCCGCCCCCCCCCCCACACACACACACACACACACTCTTACTCGAAGTATAGCAGCTCTCTCGTGTGGGGAAGAAGACCTCTTGGACTGTATTCTGACACTCCATTGCATTTCAGATTTATCCCAAATGTAAACTGAAAATGTGGCATTTCACTGGCCCTTTATTTTTATTAATGATATAATACTTTATGCACTGCTGTAGTGCCTTAGCAAATTGCCTGCTAAATAAGAGCCAGATTGTGGCTGGCCATGCACAATTATGTAAGAAGGCTCAAGAAATCTTTCCAACTCCCTTTTTTCCCTACCTTATACCTCCACAAGGAGCGTCCACAACCCCAGCCTGTTCCTGTATACCAGAGGGAGACACAGCACTAGTGACACTTCTGAATTCTCCACAGGAAGCAGGGCAGGGCAGAGCAATGACCCAACCCTCCTCTGCACTACCTGTTACACCAAAACCAGTAGAAGTGGAGGGGGGCAGTGTTTGCACGTGCACACACACGCACTGCACCTGTGAAAGGCAGCGGTCACCCTGATGTGAGCTCCCTTGGTGTTTCCAGAGGTCTTCTGTGTGTCTCAGCAGTCACTGTGCTAGAATGCCTCTAGGATCTAGCATTGATGCAGAGCCCCTGCTCTGTCATGGTAGTCTTATTAAAAGCCATAATTAGTCACTAATTAAGTAACCTCATAACACCCTTGAGAGTTAGGTAAAAACTACTATACCTGTTTTATTGATGGATAATCTAAAGCAGAGAGAATAACTGATTTGCCCAAGGCCACACAATAAGTCAGTAGCAGAGCTGGGAAACCCCAGAACTCTTGACTCCTAATCCAGTGCTATGTGCTAACTATGTTCCTTCCTCTTAAGTTTAAGTAATGCCCATCTCACATTCTTGAATTTAATAAGTGGAAATTTGCCATTTATTCCAGGCGTGGAGCACAGGGTGAGTTTTATGTCAAACTTGGAGTGAAAAAATTGTCCCATGTAAAGAAAATCCCAAAGCTGCAGACGTAGGAAGAAAACAAATTTGTTCATGTTTTAAATGTGATCTTCATAAATGTAAGGGCTAGGCACATTTATTTTTGAACAGAAAGCTTAGATTCTGCAGACATTGATGGTTCTTGCCTGGGGAAGTTACCCATTTGCCAGAGGTGAGTTGGTGAAGTGAACTTTTTAATCCCTTTTTATAAACCTTTAGGAAAATGAAATTAGCAATATAAAGCTGGCTAAGTAATTTTAATGTTTGTGACCAACAGATCTCAGGGATACTGGAAATATAACAGTCTTATTTTAACAGGGACCAACTGTTCTTGAACAAGTAAAAACACTGTATTAGCCAAAATTAGATATTCTTCAAATCAGAATTCATATCTTTCTACCTGTTTTGCCATGTTTAATTAAGATAATTATTGTGGACCATGCAAGGAAAATTCCATAACCCCATTCCTGTTTGAATTTCTCTGTATCCCAGTATCTCAATTCAGGAATCCATATCCCCTTGGAATGTTTTGAGAAATTTCCCTTCAGGATGCTAGTGATATAGAATGACTAGCACCATTAATTTGCCAATGCTAACTCTGTGTTTCAAGGCTTGGCATTGATTATTTTCACCTTGATGGGTGAAAGAGCCAGGGATGAGCTCCCGCTGTCCCATATGCTGTGAGTCTGTACATCAGCATGGACAGGTTGACAAAGAAACTTCCCTCATCGGCTTGTTAGTGCATAATTGTCCATTATTGGGATTTTCTCTGAAATACCTGGTACTGGCCAGTATCGGAGAAAGGATACTGGCTAGGTGAATGGTTGGTCAGATCTAGTATGACAATACCTGTTTCCTAGTGTGGGAGGGATGGAGAATGCCAGTTCAGGATCTTCAGAAAGGGAAGCACCAGCTTTGTATGAGGCTGCTGAGTGTACGTTCTTCTTCAGCACCATCCACTGCTGGAGCCTGCCTATTTGTGAGAGAGTACCTTGTAAAACGTTCATCACACGTTATGACCATACCTCTTAATTGTCCGGTATTGGGCAGGGTGCCCTGTATTTTGGCTACTGTTTCTGGCCCTGTCCTGCTGTGTTTACACAGCTGTCCTCCATCATGGTAGCCTTTGGGCTGGGACAGAGAGATCCTCTCTGGTCCTCTTGGTGGCTGAGTTCTGTGCATGCTGCTGCCTTTAAACAATTTTCCTCCTCTTCCAAACAGATGTTTTCTGGCTTCTTGCCCACCCTCGTGGTGATTAGATGCGGCAGGGCTTATCTTTGAACAGTGGTTACAGACTCTAAAGAGGGTTAGCAGTGTTGGCAGAAGGATGAAAAACCTAGGCAGCTTCTTGAGTATCCACTAAAACTGAGCATCCCCGCCAAATTTTTACCCTTACCCTTGCTTACACCAAGGCTGAATTTAGCCTTCAGAGAAATTCAGCCTAACAAAAACACCAGGCATACAACTGAAATTATTTCAGTTCTGGTTAGTTATTAAGGGTTAGGTTGAGAGACTGTGTGACACCACTCAGTTTACAGGTTCCATGACATGTTTTCTTTAAATTAATTCAAAGAATTTTCTAATAGAATTAAACAAACAAAAAAGCTTGTGTGTGTTATGTGTGTTCTATGCACTATCGACAGCAGTTACCAACCTGGCATGTTGGTCATTATGGTTACTAATCACTCTAGTCAGTGTTGTATTAAGCAGAAGGTAGACATTTTGACATTTATATATTTGGGATAGAGAGAGGGCTTTCCTAAATCATTTTTTCACCTAAGAAATGTTGTAGAGATTAGTTGGTTGCCAAGCTGTGTGGTGTTGTTTGATTTTTAGTAATCAAATATTGTATTTACCTGCTGGATCAATGTTATTTGTGTAACACACTAGTGACATACAGAAGGACCTTTTCTAAGCTGTGCTGTGGGAATTGACCCCTCTGCAGAAGGTCTGGAAGCCGCATCTTACTTAGCAACTGTTTCTAAGTAGGACAGCCATTCACTGCCTAAAGCTAGGAGTGATGCCTGTGGACGAAAGCATAGGGAACCTGTAGGTAGCAGTGGGAAGGGTTTTAAGGCCATGTGATACCACCAGGAAAGCTTATGTCAAGGAAGAGTGAGGGACTTCTGAGCATTTAGGAAACATAATGAGTAAAGGAAAAAAAAATCTATGATTATCCAAAAGGGTGTTGAGAGCCTATAAAAATTGGTATGAGTTTGGTGGCTGTCTGCAAGAGAAACCAGGAGCTGGAGTGAGAAGGGAAAACTGGAGTGGGGAGTTATATAGGAGGTTATAAAACACTGGTTTGTGGTTGAAGCCTATGCATTGTCATGCTGGCTGCGAGGAATACCACTGAGAGGCAGAGTGGAAGAAGGATCATTTAAGCATACAATTCTCATCTTTGCTGATAGATGCCAAACATGTAATTCCTTGTGCACTCCTTTGGAAATATATGCATTTGTGATTGGGTGGGTTTGTTAGGGATGTATGTTCCCTGTCTCAGAGCTAGTTTCTTAGTGAAATCTGATACATCTGCATTTCTATCCAATGACAATTATATGTACCAAATCTTTGGCTTTGTATGTTGTTTATGCTCTTAAACCTTGCAGATGAAGAACATTTCAGAAGCCATAGATTTTAGGGGCAGCAGGTTTATCAGGACTAGATAAACAAAAAACTGTTCAGTCCATAGATCATATTGGACTTGGCACTTCGTAATATCCATGATGAATTTCACCTTCCTTTTGATTTCTCCACCAGACGAAGGATTGAACCATGAATGTAAACTCTGCAATCAAACATTTGACTCTCCTGCCAAACTTCAGTGCCACCTGATAGAACACAGCTTTGAAGGAATGGGGGGCACCTTCAAATGTCCAGTCTGCTTTACAGGTAGGCGGATGGGATCAGTACATTCCCTGTAATGGCTTTAGCCTATGCATACAGAGCTTTCATTTATATGGCCCTCAGTATTTGTCATGTTATGACTTTAGGTCAGTTTTGAGATGCAATATTAGACTTGTGCTCATTAGTAATATTGATTAGAAACTGTTTAAAAAATCAGGCTTGATGGAAGGTCAGGCATGCATCTACGTGAATTGCATTTCAAAGTTATTTATCAGAACTTTGTATTTTTAGAATTGCAAAACTGATTGTTACATTCATACACCTCGGTGTCGTCACTGTCATGTTCTAAACTTGCCAAGGGGGAAAATGACCATCAATACATGCTGTCCAGTTATAGAAAATGTGGTAAATGAGAGCAGAACTTGGGTAAGGAGTGCTGGCTTTGGCCCAGAAAGCATGCTGCAGTGTTCTCCTTTGGACCAACAGTAATGCTCCCGTTTAATTTAGTTGTTGGCACTAGAAAAGGAGAACCTTCATAATTTGCTTTTGGGGAAATTTTGCACTCCTTACACAGGGCCAAGTTCTGCTGTCAGTGACATAGGTCTAAGTCTGGTTTTAGTTCCTCTCAGGTCAATAGATATGCATTGGTATAAACCCAGCTGAGAGAGTGGCTTGGCCTAGAAGGACTAAGGAGTACAAGATTTGACCTATAATGAGGCACATAAAAATGGTGGATAAAACTTACCCCCAATTGCTCTTAAAAATGAGAACACATTCAAAGGATGCACACAGACTTTTTTTTTAAAGGGCAATAGGCCTTTTTTTTTAGCAGACTGTTTTATAAAATTACACCCTAAAACACAAGTGTTAATAGGTATCATAAATGCATAATTTGCTTATAAAATGAAAATCTGAGACTGTTGCAGAACTATAGGAAAACATGATAAAACACACTTAGGGTATTCTTCTATCAATAGCATGCTAATCTTGGAAGCCATTCAAGGTTTCTGTTTTCCATTAATATGCTTTAAGCCTGTGCATTGATAGGCAAATAGACCGCTTAATACCTTCATTTTATTCCTCTTTGTTTGGCAGCTCCCCTCCCAATAAAACTTAAGTACACCCTGCAAAAGAAAATTAAAGTTGAATTTTTCTTCTTGCAGATAGAGTGGCTGGCACTGATTATTACCTCACTTTATTCAGGTTACATATTCTTGTTGAATTATACAATTTAAAAACATATAGTTCATTTTCACTGCACGGCTTGCCATAGTCCTGTCTGAGTCTGTGTATAGTTCTGCCTTCAACAGTTTGCCTGTTAGGCATCTGCGTTCAATAATTCTTTCAGTGAGGTAGTTCTTTGTCTTTTGGTTTTATTATTGATTGTATGGGGGTTTTTTCCTTGGCTTTGTGTACACATATGTAAAGAGTTGATTTTCTTTTACTCTAATATTGTGTGTCTAAGGATTCCAAGAGTTTAACGATAACAAGTTTGGGGGGTGTTTTATGCAGTATACAAACTAGCATCTGTAAAGGGTCTCCACTGGTGATTCGCCACGTGAGCAAGATCCCTGATAAAAAAATAATCTTTTGATGTTTGAGCCAGTAGCCTTGGAAAATGTGTTAAGGAGTATGGAGATAAGTCAATTCCAATCTGTGTGAAACCTTTTTTCCTTTTCGCTGATGGGGTAAATAGACACAGAGCATTAATCGTAAACAATGGTGGTTTTTTAGCAATGTGCTATTAAATTATTTCAGTATGTCTTGCTAGAATATTAACAAGAACTAAAAATCACCAATATACGTTTTATATGGAAAATGGAATCTGAGCAGTTTTTTTAAGGTAATGAGAAATGTGATTAAAATGTATGACTCACAAGAACAATATTCTAATATTTTTTGTTGCCTTGCAATTAGAATAATTTTAATGATTAGGAGTGGAGTCAAAGTCAAATGCCAGCATCTTTAATAAATCCTTTTTCTGCCTATACAGATTAATATTGTAGATGCAAACTTTTTTAGGTCACAGTGCACCAGGCATCCATCAGAAGTCAGTGCTGCCAACCCAAACACTGCCTCTGGCATATACAATTTAATTATTAATAGTATGTCTCCTAGGTAAACTGTTACACAGTCTTAGGGCCTTGTTTTGTAGTCATTAAAATTGAACATGTTTATATTATTGAAACCCTTGCATTCAGTGTGTAGGCAGAGTTGATCTTAAAGTATCCAAAGAGAATTTACCTGCAGTTCTGTTTCACATTCATAGACATTGCCACACTGTAGCTGTGGGATATAATTTTTAGCATTAACACATTTAAATACAGAGCTGTTTGTTAGCTTTAACTTTAGGCAAATACAGTAAGCGGGGCTTTGGAACCTACGCTTTCCAGACCTGTTGGTTGCTAGGAAATAAGTTTCATGTGTGTTCATTTTCAAGATAGTATGCTTGGTGACCTTCAGTTCATTTTAAAATAATTTGTAAGAGAAAATGGCATTTCTAAATCTTTATATTTGAACTATATTGATTGTTCTGGGGGGGTCTCTTTGCCAGACATTTAGTACAATGCCTTTTAAAAAAAATTGGGACCTCACTGTGTAGATGAATAGTGTTGGTTGCGCCTATTAGTGCAACAGTATAATGTGAAATTACAGTGTACCAGCTTAATTCTACCTCTTGGAACTACTGTGCATTAATGGCGAAATGCTTACAAATGACTTTCCACTTGTGAAATTAAATAATGAAAAGCTCACTGTTGTTTTAACATTTCAGTGTTTGTTCAAGCAAACAAATTGCAGCAGCATATTTTCTCAGCCCATGGACAAGAAGACAAGATCTACGACTGCACGCAGTGTCCGCAGAAGTTCTTCTTCCAAACAGAGCTGCAGGTACCATATTCATGAAGATTCATGGGCTGTAGCAGTACTGAACAAATGTGTTCTGTAGCTGGACTCATTGCATTCCTTGCTCTTCAGTATGGGTTGGGGGGATCCAGAGGAAGGAATAACAGAGAGCACAAAAAACCTCGTGTATAACTCACATGAGTAGCATTTCATGCCACTTGTAAGAGCTATCAGTAACAGAGCATCTGACTTGCTAGTTTAAACCTAGACAGTAGGGGCAACCATTGGACTCCTGCTGCGTAGTTTGGTGGAGATTAAGAGTGTTTCAGAATTGGTGTTCTTGATATTTTAAGGGAGGAAAGGAGAGAAATGAGCAGCTTACATTCCTATTTAGCACCCAAAACAGCCAGTGAATAGAAGAATGAAAATGAAGCCTGTGTGTTCTTCTCCTTCTGGCAGTCAGCGAGAAAGAGCTAGCATAAGAAGGTGGGAATGAAAGAAGAGTAAGCTATGGAATGCAGTAGCGTACTGTACCCGTGTCCAGCTGCTAATCAATCCACCCTCCCATAAATATTAAACTTCAGATAAAATTAGTTATATGAAGATTTCATTGTCTTCTACTTCTTGTACACTGTCTGAAGGGTCAGTAGAATTCTCTTATTGTTGGAGAAGAATAGGACAGGAGGAGGGGGGATAAATCTTGTATACCTTCTGAAAACAAGTTTCGGTCAAAGAATGCCTGGTTATATGCTAATTTAGCTGCTCTCTTTCTCTTGGAAAGGATCATTACATTGCTAGTACTCCTGAAATGACTTGTCACATTTAGAAAGATCAGAAGAATAGAGTACCAAATATTCATTAACAATTTTAATTCACGTTTGAATATTATCAGAAGAGTGTTTGGAAGTCAACCTTCCAGGATCTCCATTTGCTAAAACGGGTCAGTGCTGATGACATAAAGAAAATATATTTCTCCTGTAGTGTTATTTTTTACTCTGCATGTTCTTCTTTTGAAGAGTGTGGTGCAAAGCACTATACTGAAGGTGTTTATAGTTTTTATAACATGGACTGTTGTCTGTAAGAAGCTTAACTGAGCCTCCTCAATTTAGTTCACTTTTGACCAGAGCTAGATTTATCTTTGTCGTTTGAGATAAGAGGCGGGGGGGAGGGAGGGCGTGTGTGCTCATTTAGTATGTCAATTATTGTAAAGTTAATGTATTTAAAACTTAATGCTAATACTCAGGATGACAGTATGAATTATTTCTTTTGTGGGAAAAGAAATTAGATTTTGAGAGCTTACACTGGGCCTCAATATATTGTATGAGAATTGGATATTGAGATCTATCAAGTTGTATTTCTCTTTTACGGTGGTGGGGGTGGGGGGGGGTTGTGCCTGTACAGTTTAACCGTACTGTGTGTGAAACTGGAATGTCAGCCTTAATTTTCAGTTTCCCAACTTTTGCTGGAATCAGTCTAGGGACAGATAGGGGAAGGTGGCATTGTTCTGGTTTTGGCAAAGCCTCTGATTTAGCCCCAGACACGAGCACTCTCTTCCCTTCATGTCCAGGTCAAACCATCTTCACTTCCATCCTTGGACAATGCTGCCTTTCTAATTATTAATCTAATAACTGGCATAGCTTCTGTAGCCTTCACAGAAAAACACAGACCTTAATTTTAATAATCTCAACAGACCTTTCTTCTCCCTCCCCTGCCAAAAGCATTCTTCTTTTGTTCAGAAACAGGTTTTAAAAGTCTTTGTTGCTCTGATGTGACTGGAAGAACCTGCTTTTAACTTTTTGGGGGATACTTTATTTCTCTAGAGGGGAAGGAGATCTAAAGCTTCTGTTATGGACTTAGAACAGTATGCTTGAAGAGGCCGCCAGGTTACTAATTGGTACAGGTTTAAGGGTTCTACAGGATCCTAAAGCCTGTCTGTTATTTTTACGCTTGTAAAATGAATTGAAATTGAAGAAATATTTAACTAAAACTATTTATTCATTTAAAACATAACACTTTAATAGTACTCGCTTAATGCAGTCTGGATTTTTCAGAAATAACCTTTTAATATTTTTTAAATTAAAAATATCAATCTGAACATCAGATGAGCGACCAAGTTGCAAGCTAGACAGTCATAAAGCTGTATATACACCTCCCAGTATTAACGGCCTAAGAACTCCAGTACCTGAGATTTGAGTATATGACTATATTTGTCTGAATAACTATAACTAACATTTTTTATATCCATCACCCACAGTACTGAACTTTTAATTAATGAGAAAAGTGATAAATCTATCATTATTGTAGCCCAGTGCTGTATTATTAATAAAAGGAGATAAAACCTATTAAAAAGATTCCCCCTCCGCCCTTCCCTCCCTCCCCCACCCCCCACCTCAGCCAGTTTCCCCTCCCTGGCATTGTTTTTTGCTGGACTGTTGGATTATGCCTAGCTGGCATTAGCCATTTGGATGGGCTTGCAAAACAATTTTTTGTGGCTTCCTAGTCCCCAACAAAGAAAGGTAACCAATTCGTGTCCACGGTTTTTGTGTTATGCCTATGGCCCGCCCAAGGTTGGCTCTAGGTTTATTGATGGTGGATGGGCAACAGGACACTCTGAGGCAGGTTAGCTGACTCATTTTAGATTGTTTAAATGTGTGTGTGGGGGGGTGCGGTCAGACCAGCCCCAGCCTCCAGTAGAAGTGCAGCACTGTTGCTTGTCCTGTGGTCTGTAAGTTTTTCAAGTGATAATTGTCAAAATAACTTGGGGTTCCTGGGCACTAGGCCCAGTCAGAAAGGATTTTGTGTGCATTCTGGGAATCATAGCATTTATTTAACGCTTTGCAAACATTGTCTAATTAATTGACCCAGCCTTCCGAAGGGGTGGGTAAATACCCCCACTTTACAGGTATGGAAACTAAGGCAAGAAACAGGTGGCTAGGAGTCTTTGTTCCATACTCGTGGATTATGGCCTGGCCTCAGCTTTACATGCCTCTGCTGTCCCGCGTCTGCAGTACAGCAATGTCATTTACCTTAGGAAATTCCAGATAGTGGAGAACACTGCAGCTCATCTACTCAGCAACACTGACAACTGTGAGCACATCGAAATGACCCCTTCTCCCTACAAGGGCTTCCCATAGAATATCAAGTTAAATTCAAGGTCTCAGACCTTATCTTTGGGGTGCTCAATGGCCAGGCTCCTGCATATCTAAAAGATCACTTTCAAGAATGTTCTCACAAAGAAAAGGCTTTGCGTTATTTTAAAAATGAAATCAGAGATTATCTCTGACCTTTCTAGTTCCCCAGAATCAAGGGATGAGGGGGTGGGGCACAGATACTGGCTTTGTAGGCCCCATAGGCCAATATGCAGTGGGGAATAACTTGTCAGTTTTTAAAAGGAAACCTGTCTGAAATCCAATTAACATTAAAAGCTTTAGGCCAAAGTTTCCAAATTTAATGGCCTGTTTTTCAGAGGTCCTGAGTACCTGCAGTTAAAGTCAATGAAAGATGTAGGTCCTCAGCACCTCAGAAAATCAGGTCATAAGTGCCTAAAGTTAGGAACCTACATAAAAACACCTGATTGCCACAGATGTTAAACACCCACAGTCCCCATTAAGGTTGTGGCTAAGTACCTAAATAAGGACTCAAGTTTCAAAACATAGGCCCCAAATTTGAAAACGATGGCCTTAGCCTTTTGTAGGCAAGCAGAGTCAAGTTGTTAGAGCAGATGACAGGAAAACAGGAGAGCTGGGTTCTAGTACCAGGTGTGCTAACTTTCTGTGGGACCTTGAGCAAGTCACTTAACCACCCTGTACCAAACTTTCTCCATCAGTAGAATGGGGATAGTAATACCTATATCACAAGGGTAGTGATTTGTTAATTACATTAGTGTTTGTGCTTTGAAGCCTTTGGATAGAGAGTGCTATGGAAATTTAAAATATTGTTATTGTTTATTATTCTTATTTTTTCCTCAGCATGCCTCAGAGTACAAACTCAACTGTAGAGCTGCTTTTAACAGGGGGCTGGATTTGGTATTTTTAGATTTTTTTTTTTCCTTCTGGACTGTGTCCCTTCTCATATAGTCCCATTCTCTTCTGATGCTTGGAACTTCTGCCCAGAGAGAACAGAACGATCTTTGATTTTCATTGCAAACTTCTCTCCAAAAAGTCAAACAGGCTTTTGCTTTGGACTCAAGAGAGATGCAATGGAAGTACTCGCACTTCAGCTACTTAAGAAAATGTTTTCAAAGTATTTCTCCTCCAAGTCTTTTGCTTCAGTGTCAGAGAAAGTTTAAATACCAAAAATAAAATAAAAACTCCAAACCCACCAAACTTTGAATTCCCTTCCATGTTTCTTTCCCCATGAGGATTAAGGGGTTTTAAGCCATATTAGTCTTTCATACAGTAATACTTTTCTAAAGAAGAAATTTCTAGGTTTGGAGCATATGAGCCCAACCTTCTTTGATTGGCCTATTCAAACATAAACCCTCCCAGTCGGTAGTTCATTAGTTCATGAATATTTATAGCACACAATAAAATCCACCAAGCCTGATGTGTCACAGGTGCACGGTGACCATTTTGCTTTCACTAAGCAGTGCTTGAGAAAGATTAGAACAAGTGGGCTGAGTCTTACTTGTCTTATTATATACGTATTTGTACATATGTATACCGTGGTCACCCTTTGAAAACTTTCTGTTTTTTCCTTTGGTAATTTGAAATGTTACCTTACTATTTACAGTATTTCTCACACATTTCCTGCAGGGAATATTGCAAATATTGGGGTATTATTAGTCACATTCTAAAGCAATTGAAAAATGGTGATGGGCAAACATTTGGCGTATACAGATATTCAGACAGTCTTGATTGTTTTTGGATGGAATTGCAAAATTATTGGACAAGGAGAATGTAGTAGGTCAGAATTTTAGTAAAGCATCTCATGCTAAATCTCAGAAAGTCTTACCTAAAAATTAATACAAATTGGCTGAAGTAGGAAAACGACAAATGGACTGATACTAGTTACAGTTTCTAAAATAGATGTCTAAATTACACCCA